CGACTACTACTACTACTAATACTACGATTACGGCTACTACCACTACTACCACTACTACTACCACTACTACTACTACCACTACTACTACTACTACTACTACTACTACTACTACTACTACTACTACTACGACTACGTTACTACTACTACCACTACAACTACTACTACTACTACTACCACTACTACTACTACGACTACTACTACTACGACTACTACTACTACGACTACTACTACTACTACTACTACTACTACTACTACTACTACTACTACTACTACGACTACGACTACTACTACTACCAATGCTACTGCTGCTACTACTACTACTACTACTACTACTACTATTCCTACTACTTGCAAATACGACCAATAAATTACACGAGTTAAAACTAATACTCCCACTACTACTTACTACTGTACTACTACTACTACTACTATTTACTACTTACTACCACTTACTACTACGACTTACAACGTACTTACTGTACGACTACTACTACTACTACTTGACTACTACGACTACCACCACCACCACCACGACTACTACGACTACTACGACTACTACTTACTACTACTACTACTACTACTACTACTACTACTACTACTACTACTACTACTACTACTACTACTACTACTACTACTACTAATACTAATACTACTACTACTACTACTACTACTACTACTACGACTACTACGACTACTACTACGACATACTACGACTACTACGACTACTACGACTCTTACTTTACTACAACTAGCGCTACGACAATCGCTATTCACTTTACTACTACTAACTAGTACTATCTAACTAGCTACGAATACTAACTAATTATCTCACTAATACTCACTTGACTACTACTATACTACTACTAACTATACTACTTGTATACGACGACTACGACCACTACTGCATATTACTACTACTACGCTACTACTTACCTACTACTACTTAAGGCTACTACTACCACTATGCTACTACTTACTTACTACTACTACTACTACTACTACTACTACTACTACTACTACTATGACTACTACTACGACTGCTACTTCTACCACTACTACTACTACTACTACCATTACGACTACTACTACTAATACTACTACTACTACTACTACTACTACTACTACTACGACGACGACGACGACGACGACTACTTCTACGACTACACCTACTACTATGACGAGTACGATTACTACGACTAATACAAATACGAAGACTATTATTACTACTACTACTACTACTACTACTACTACTACTACTACTACGACTACTACGACCTGCACGACTACGACTACTAGTACTACTGCTGCTGCTACTACTACTACTACTACTACTACTACTACTACTACTACTACTACTACTACGACTACCCTTACGACTACTACTACTACTACTACTACTACTACTACTACTACTACTACTACTACTACTACTACTACTAATACTTACTCCTACGACGACTCGACTTACGACTACAATTGCTACTACTTTCGCTTCTACTACTCTTACTACTAACTACTACTACTACTACTACTTTGACTACTGACGACTACTACTTACTACTACTTAATAACTACTACTACTACACTATACTACTATACTACTACCATACTACTACACTCACCACTAATACTTCTCCCCTATACTACTACTACTACTACTACTACTACTACTATTACTACTACTACCTTACTACTACTACTATTACTACTTTTACTTCCTACCAAACTACTGCTACTACTAATACTACTTACGACTCTACTACTATACTACTACTGACTACTACTACTACTACTACGTACTACTACTACTTACTATACTACTCTACGTACTACTACTAAACGGACTACTACTACTTACTACTACTACTACTACTTAACTACTACTATACTGTACTATACTGCTACTACTGCACTACTACTAATACTACTACTACTTATACTTTCACTACTACTACTACTACTACTAGTACTACTACTACTACTACTACTACTACTACTACTACTACTACTACTACTACTACTACTACTACTACTACTACTACTACTACTACTACTACTACTATACTACTACTACTACTACTACTACTACTACTACTACTACTACTACTACTACTACTACTACTACTACTACTACTACTGTGACTGTTACTACTACCACGACCACAGCCACGACCACTACGACGACTACGAACAAACGACGTGACTGGAAAGGGTACGGACATGTACTGCAAACCTTGTACAAGCAAGCACGGAAATTCTTAATCGTGTAAGGTACCCAGGGGTGATATCCGGCAAGAGAAGTAACAGCCCAACAAAAACCAGCACGGCGAACAATACTGGGCAAATAATTTTGCCGCCGAGCCTCACACCTCACTTCCAAGCCAGAGCTTCGGGGGGGGACCTGTGCAGCATCACGACCGTCTTGCGGTCATCTGTCACTTAAGCACATCCGCCTATCAATGTAATCATCCGAATGTCTGCCACATCCAACGGAAAGGCTGCAAGGCAACTCCGAAGATCGCGAAAGGGGTGGCCCCGGGGTAGCTCCGCGAAGACGGGGCTCCAACGGCCGGCTGGCCTCGCCCGTCCGTCCACGGGGCACGCGCCCGTCGAAACTTCAGAGCGGCGAGTCGCGCGTCCGGGGGGTGACACCTACTCGGCGGCGCGCACGAAGGGTGGCCTTCCGAGAAGGCAAGGGGGGGGGCTGCTCAGAAGGCGGGGGGCCTTCTCGAAAGCGCATGAGAAGTCCTTTCTTCTGGGGGAACCAAAAGGTACCGATACCGCTACCCCCCGGACCTCTCCCGGGGTGCGTTCTGACCAGGATTTCAAGGCGAATCCAGCGGTGGCGACGAGGGCCTCCAAGGAGGCCCAAAAAATGCAAAACGGGCGAGAGGGTAGAGGTATGGGTACCTTTCCTCCTCCGATTTTCGAGGCCTCCAGGCGCCTTGGAGAAGTCCCCCATCTGCCTTTTCAGATGGCCACCCCCCTCGCGCCAACCCCTCGCGCGCGCCGCCGGCGTGCGTCCTCGGGCGCAGCCCGGCCACGCCTCACAGGATGCAGCATAAGCAGTGGTCTGAATTGGTCTCCTGGGCGCCGAGAGCGGGCCCCTGGAGGAGAAGCACAGGGGCGCGGGAGCGCGAGGGGCGGAAGATCAGCGGCGAGCCCGGGGGGAAGTGAAAAGGGGCAGGCCTTCGCAGAAGGTTCGAAGTTCTCGGGCCTCCTGAAAGGTTTTCGAAGGCACAGAAAACTCAGGAAACTTCTCTGAAGGCCAGAGGGTTTCTGAGAAGCCCCGCCGCCTTCTGAGAAGATCTCCTCCTTTCCACTTCGCCCCGTCACTCGCCGCCGAGAAAAGAAATTGGAGAGGAGAGAAAGGAGGACCTTGACAGACGAAAAGAGACGGGGAGAGCGGGGTAGAAAGAGAGAGAGAGAGAGAGAGTGTGAGAAAAAATGAGAGATGAGGATAAAGAGAGAGAGAGAGAGAGAGAGATATATATATATACATATGGAAAGACGACAACAACAGCAGCAACAGCAACGACAACAGCAGCAACAACCACAACGACAACAACAACGGCAGCCAAAACAACAGCAGCAACACTAACCACAATAACAGCAACCAACAACAACCACAGCAAAGAGTGCAACAATCACAACGACAGCCACAACCATAACAACAGCAGCAGCAGCAACAACAACAGCATCGATAAACAACAAAAAAAAAAAAAAAAAAAAAAAAAAAAAAAAAAAACAACAACAAACAACAACAACAACAACAACAACAACAACAACAACAACAACAACAACTATTACTAGCACGTGGGGACACTCCGTTCTCACCAGTGCCAGGGTTTTCATAGGAGGCGGGCAATACCCCCACTTTGTGGGGGGGCCGGTTCAAGCTCTACCAAATTTCCAAACGACTCTTCGCCACCACCCACACCCAGCTTCCCGCCCTATGACGTTCGGACACTTCACTTCGTGGCATGCGGACGACCGTGGCTACTATTCAGGGCCCCGCGGCCGACGACGACGGCGTGCGCGCGCGAAGAAAAAACGAATGTGTCCCGCATGGTATTATTTGACAGGGATGATGGCCCTGGCAGGTGCGCAACCGTTGTTGCAGAAGTTCGAAAAAGTTGCTCGCAAAAGCCCGTTTGACAGAAATGTTTAAAAAGTGTTGGGTTTCCTACGAATCCGCAAGAGCGCGCGGGATGAAAGTTTGACAATTTTTTTTGAAAAACCATTGGTTTTTTGATGTTTTTATGTTAAAATCGCTACGAAAACTAAGGTTTTGGAAGGATTTCGTCTTGCGCGCGCGAATGTCCACTTTACCTTATTTTTTGCAAGGGATTCTTGAAATTTGATTATATTAGAACAAGAAATGTCATTTTATAGTGTTTTTTGCAAGGGAAAACGGATTACAACAAAACAACCGGATCTGATCACATCGTTTACCTGAGGCTTCCTCACGAAAATGATGAAAATGTAGCTGCGGCCTAGGCGGCGCAGGGGGGGCGCGCACCAGGGGGCCCAACAATAATTATTCTTTAGAATTAATAATGTTCAACAACAACAACAACAACAACAACAACAACAACAACAACAACAACAACAACAACAACAATTACTAGCACGTGGGGACACTCCGTTCTCACCAGTGCCAGGGTTTTCATAGGAGGCGGGCAATACCCCCACTTTGTGGGGGGGCCGGTTCAAGCTCTACCAAATTTCCAAACGACTCTTCGCCACCACCCACACCCAGCTTCCCGCCCTATGACGTTCGGACACTTCACTTCGTGGCATGCGGACGACCGTGGCTACTATTCAGGGCCCCGCGGCCGACGACGACGGCGTGCGCGCGCGAAGAAAAAACGAATGTGTCCCGCATGGTATTATTTGACAGGGATGATGGCCCTGGCAGGTGCGCAACCGTTGTCGCAGAAGTTCGAAAAAGTTGCTCGCAAAAGCCCGTTTGACAGAAATGTTTAAAAAGTGTTGGGTTTCCTACGAATCCGCAAGAGCGCGCGGGATGAGATTTTGACATTTTTTTGTTGAAAAACCATTGGTTTTTTGATGTTTTTATGTTAAAATCGCTCCGAACACTAAGCTTTTGGAAGGATTTCGTCTTGCGCGCGCGAATGTCCACTTTACCTTATTTTTTGCAAGGGATTCTTGAAATTTGATTATATTAGAACAAGAAATGTCATTTTATAGTGTTTTTTGCAAGGGAAAACGGATTACAACAAAACAACCGGATCTGGATCACATCGTTTTACCTGAGGCTTCCTCACGAAAATGATGAAAATGTAGCTGCGGCCTAGGCGGCGCAGGGGGGGCGCGCACCAGGGGGCCCAACAATAATTATTCTTTAGAATAAATAATGTTCAACAACAACAACAACAACAACAACAACAACAACAACAACAACAACAACAACAACAACAACAACAACAACATGATGACACAATATAAACACCAATAGCAACAACAACAAACATAACAACAATAACCATAATGTTAAGACTGATCGGTCCTATCTGCTGGCGTGCTATTCAACACGTATATATCAGCCCTCGGTACCCGCCCTCTTCGTTTTGAATCCCACCCCCACTGGGGGGTCTATCTTCCTTACCTACCACGCACGTGTAGCGCAGCCCCTAAAACAGGGGAAGAGAGGACGGATGAAAGGAGGAGGGGGGAGGAAGGAGCACGAGAAATTGGCAGGAGGAGGGCTAGGAGCAGAAAACACGTGGCAAAACCAAACGAGCAGATCGGGCGGGCAGACCCTGGCGGGCGGGTCGGAAAGTGAGCCAAGGCGGCCAGGTCGAGCAGGCGGGTTGCTGGCGCGTGAGTCCGCAAGAATTGCGAAGAAGTCTCGAGGAATAGCGCGCTTCCCCATTTAATCGTGAGAAAGGCCAAAGCAAGAGCGTGACCCGGGAAAGTCGAGGGAACGGCGTCTGGATAAATTGCGAGGAACTCCCACGCGAGAGCGCGATTCCTGCATACACGATGAGGAATTCCAGCGCGCGGGCGCGAGTTTGGAATAAACCCCACCAGCCCTCTGAGCGAAGGTTGTCTAGGGCGGTTTCTTTATCAACCCCTCCTCCTCCCCTTCGAGGGGGGGTACCCTCCCACTAGCCCCCTCCCATGAACCTGGAGGGGGGGTTCTCGCGCGGTCAAAACATCTAAGATGGCCGAAGGCGGCTCCTGGAGGACCTCAGAGGGCCCAAACAGACCTTCAAGACGGCTCAAGATAGCCGTAGATGGCTCCAGATGGCTCCCAAAATGTTCCTCGAGGCCCCAAGATCGCTCCGAGACGGCTCCGAGCGGCCACGGAGCCTCCCCAGGAGGCCGCCAAGAGGTCAAATCATTCGAAAACCTGCGGGAATCAATTACGTGTGCCTTCTTGCCGTTTCACTTTCAATGGCCTTCGAGGCCCCAAGACAGCTCCACGAGGGCCCAAGAGGGCCCCAAGAAAGGCCCAAGAGAGCCCCAAGACGGCCCCATGAGCGTCCAAGAGCGCCCCGAGACCGCTCCACGAAGGGCCCAAGAGGCGACGTGGGGGCTTCCGAGGGGGCAGGCTAATTGAGGACCCCCCTCTTCGCTCGAGCTCTTCCAAGATGGCCTCAAGAGAAGTCCCCAGGCTCCCAAGAGCGCCTCACGAGGGCCCCAAGAGGCGCCCAGGAAGCCCCACGAGGCGCCCAAGAGACCCCCAAGAGGCTCCCAAAAGACCCCGAAGAGTCCCCAAGAGGCTCCCCGGGGCACCCAAGAGCGCTCCGAAAGGAACCCTTCCTCTGCGTGCTGCCCACTTCGCGAATCGAGGCAACTCCTCTGAGCATCTTCTCTGGATGGGCTGGCGGGTTTACTTTTTGCTCGCGAGCGTCGCGGTCAGCCGCGCGCCGTCAAAAAAAAATCGACGGAGAAGCGCAAGCCCTGCTGTCGCAAAGAGGCGCGGAAAAGAAGCCCCGAAGGTGGCGACAGCTACAATGCAGAACGGAGGCAGACGGCAGCGAAGAAGCGGCGAGGACGGAACGGAAGAGCGGAAGAACAAAGAGAAAGAGGCGAAGACGGGACAAAAGAAAGGAAGCAAGCCGCAGCTCAAGCTGAGGCCAAGTAGTAGACGAACGCCCCTTGTCGAACAGCCAGAGCTTGTAGTAATGAGCGGCGCACCCAACCCAATGCACACACTGAGATGTCACAGAGTGGCCACCGGCACGAGAAGAGCGCAAGCGTAGAACATGCAGACATCCATCACCCAGGCCGTCTCCAGGGCCGTGCAATCTAGCCGCAAGGTCGCCGCCATCCACGAGCCACGGGGAGAGCAAGAGGCAGCGAGACCGACCAAAGGCAGCGTGCGGCACGACTCGAAAGCACTGCAGACGATGGGGCACACACCGATGGCGACGAGGAGCGACCGGGCCAGCCGGGCGGGGTGACCAGCCCAGGCCCGCTGGGCAAGCAGCCTCAGGGCGGGGGGTTGCACCGCCTGAGACCTGCAGCTCACTGGGGGGGGTGCGGCTGACAGCCTCGGGAAATGGGAAGTTGCACGCCATCGACAGCCCGGTGTTGTGGTAGGGTGCAGCTAACAGCCGCAGGAATGTGGGAGAATAAGCTTGCGCCTAAGACATACTCGTGATCAGCCTGGAGCGGCAAACGGGGGGGCAGCCGGAAGCCGCCCACTGCCAAGAGCAGGGGGCGAAGTACGCGATGGCACTGCGTGAGGATGCCCAGTGCTCTGGTAGGGTGCAGCTAACAGCCGCAGAAAGGTTGGACAAGAGCTATCGCCTGAGACATACGGGAGGTCGGACTGGGAGCGGCAAACTGGGGGGTAGCCGTTTGTCGTCCACGATCAAGGGCGGGGTGAAGTGGCAGCAAACAGCTGCAGGGTGCAGGGTAAGAATAATAGCTTCGCCAGGATGGTGTAGACGCTCTGCTGGGTTGCAGCAGATCGTCGCCAGATAAGGGGAGATGGTTCACCTGAGACAACCCGTTGCACGGGCGGAATGCGGATAACAGCCGCAGGGCGAAGGGGGGTAGCTTCGCATGCGGTGTGCTGATTCTCTGGTAGGGTGCAGCTAACAGCTTC